TTGAAATCATATATTTGTAAATATAAATAGATATTGATAATCACTATGCACGATTATTATATTTCTTCGAGTATCCTCGTGAAATAAAAGGAAAAAATTCTTTCGATAATATATGTTAGTACTCCAAGAAAAATCTTCGACTCTTTTTTCTAAGAAAAATAAAACTGACTAACATACAGAATCTTAGTTGATCTTTTATCAAAATGGTCAAACAAGAGATTACTATGCAATTATTCTATATGATCTCTTTTAACATGCTATATAATAGAATTCATTTACTTAAAAATATTCTTTGTATAAGTATTTATTCATTTGTCAAATTTTAGCACTATAAGTACCGAGTCAATATAATGCTCCCGTTTAATCTGTTTGTACATTTTTCAAGCTCATGAAAGATACAAAATGATTATAGTTCTGTTCTGAGAATTTTATTAAATGAAGTCAAATAAAAAATTGAGAGAAAAAATATATACATTCGAATTATTGAAATAAATTCGAAACAATATTTCTCCTTAATTAACAGTATTCAAATAAAATAGTTATGTTTATTCATTCGTTGCTATTTAGTGTTAAATTTCTTAAAAAGTGTTTTATTTTTTTTGTATTATATTGAAGCGAAAATTCAAGAACGTATGGAACAATTTATTTATGGTCATTTTGATTCACGTGATAAACCACCTGCAATTCTTATTAAACATCTTCAAAAAAACAAAATTACTGCAAGTGCATCGCAAAAATTGTGCCTATTTAAGTTGTTCCCGATAATATTTTTCGATGTGGTAGACAAACTACCATCTTTCATTGTTTATAAGCAACTGAGGGAAATAGTTGATCTAGTTCTTTCTATGCCATTCAGAAAGCATTGGTTACCAATACTTCGTGATTTATCACATGCTTTTCAACGTTCAATGATAGAACATTGGCCACGACAAGTTGTACCCAAAGTCCACTATTGCACGGAATATGATCAAGTAATTAGTGACTATGGTCCTGCAATTAAACAATGGTCAATGCGTTATGAATCATACCACTTTTACTTCAAAAAAATAGCACTTAGAACCAATAATTATAAAAATTTGCAAAAAACTTTGGCTACTCGTTATCGATTAAAACAAGCATTTTCATCATTTAAGATGACTCAACTTAATCATAATGATCAAGCTATTAAAATACAAAAAATTAAAAATAATATTTTTAATAATGAAATGAAATGTGCCATAATCAGTCACTTTGGTAATATAGACATGTCAAAGGATCTACTTCAGTGTCATAAATTTCGTTATGAAAATATTGAATATTGTCGTTCTAGTGTTTATATCATATCTTTAATGAATTTAACTGAAACACCAAAATTTGTTCAAGTAGTAAATATTATTAAACTTACGCACAAATGGTGGTTATTAGTCGATATGTTGGCAACCATTGGTTACGATGATAAACTATGTGCTTGGGAAATTAAGTCTATGGATAAATATGATATATTAGATCCATGCTCGATGAAATATTATTACAAAGGACTTGACATTTATGAGATTGATAATTCAACTTTTGTTACATTTACAGCTCGTTTAACTTTACATTAAATTATTTAAACTAATAAGAAAATTTTCGATATCATTCTTTTTTTAACTTTCTTCTTTTACGAAATTTCTTCTACTTATTTAATTTAAATTTTATCATGAACTCTTCGATTTTTTAACATACAAAAGATATTTTTTTAATTTTAGAAAATGAAATTGATGGTGAAACTCTTGAAATGATGGACAGCATTGATAAAGTGGTCAAGTTAATTCCAAAACTGAAGTATCAGCTATTATTTTTAAAAGAACGTGAAAAACTGTTCAAGTCAATTAATAATGAATCTCTTTTAAATAATGATTCGTCATCAGTTATTTCAAAAGATCTTAATTTTTCTTCTTTATCTTCATCATCGGATAATAATACTATGAATACTTCATCAAATACTGATATTCATGATCAAACATTAGATGAAGTGTCGGTGAAAGAAAACATCAATTCGATATTTCCAGCTGAATATGTTATTCCACAATTACCACCATCTCTATTACAAGATATAGAAGCTGGTGCACTTCATAAATTTGGACCACATCATGCTAATCGTCAAGTTCTTATTGATGCAATAACTTATGATTTAATCAATACATACAATTTATTGTAAGTAATATAAAGATTTATACTGTTCGTATGAGCATATTGTAAATGTTCATATTTATATAAACTATCGTATTGTCCATCATCGTACATTTTGATTATTTATTCTTTTCAGCATATTGAAATTTAAACTATCATAATCAACATATTTATTATAAAATTTATTGTTCATTAATATTTTGTCAGTATTACTTCAATAAAATGTTTATACGAGTCCATATGTTGCTTGCGATATATTTTCTTTAAATAACAAACATCATTAATTATTTCTATTTGAGTCCTATACTTTGATTTACATTAACTATAACATTAGCTATCTTGATAAATTCTTTAAATCGAAAAATAATGTAAGTCATTTGAAAAAAAAAATCAAAAAGAAAATAAACTTCTATTTATTCTAACGTAATAATTACTAATTGATATATTTCTTTTACATTTAGTTATCCTAGTCATAAACAATTCGATGCTATTGGATCAGCGATTGTTGGTTTATTAAAACTACCTTTTACCAAAGATAATTTAGTAAGTTTTTTTTCTTGATATCCTATTATGCCATGTATATTAATGTATTGTTGATGGACATGTATTGATATAAAATTTTCTCTTTGATTAAGCTTTGATACATTTGTTATCTCATAAATTAAATAAATATTGTGTTTTGAATGTTACTACTTAATAAAAAATACATCCATCATAAATCTGATTTTTCTTGTTTAGGGAGTATGGAAAGAAGCGGTACAAATAAAATTAAAAAGGAAGCGTTGTGAACATAAGGATAATGTAGAAGTACAATATCATCTTATGAAATATTCTAAAACAAGCTCCGGTCGTCCTGTTAAGCAAATGATTGGTGAGGTTGCAAGTCGTGACCGACAAAAACAAGTAGATATTTATCAAATAATATTTAAATTTCACTTTATTTGTTTTGTAGATTTTAACGATGAATTATGATGATGATTCATTTAATAGTATGAAGATAAAATCTCAAGAATTACGTGATAATAATCATATTGATCGTGATTCACGACTTTGTCTATGGAAAGAGACGCTTCATATTCGACGAAAATTGATACGTGATCTATCGACTTCGACAATTCTTGAAGAATTTCCTGGGTACAAAGATTCTTTCTTAGTGAGTAATTTTTATTAATTATTTATTCATAGAAAATAGACTTTTATCATTAACAGATTTTTGAAGAAATACGATTGACTATGGAAGTTGATTTGCGTACTGTTGTACGTTACCAAGTACCGGTCTTATTGGAGAAATTATTATCTTCACCTGCTTTCATCACAGGTAATAAAAAGAAGAAATAAAACTTGTATATAATGTTTGTTTACTTATAGATCCTCCTCCAATTCAACTTATTCGAGTGTTATGTCGGCATTTTGGTGAAACAGTTCATCATATTTATTGTGATACAGTACGTATTATTATTCTTTTTTTTATATGATCTTGATTCAATATGTTTTGTAATTTCTATTGAACATAAACTTAATAGTTAGTCTATAGCTGGGATCAATGCAGTTAGATCTAAATTAAAAGTTAGTTTAATACTTTCAAAAAATATTAGAGTATAATATTTTTTACTTAAGTTTTCCCTTTGACGACATGATCACATCTTATTGAGATTTTAAACAAGCCACTGTGGTACCTCGATCATATATTTTTATGAGTGAAGTGTCATATAATTATTAAGTGAATACAATGCTGTATAATTCTTTTCTCATGATCATCATTTCACTTTTGAAATGAATTCAACTTATTATTTCTTTGTGATTTCAGTTTAAATTAGTCAGTTTATATTGCCTTGCATATGATTACATTGCATAGCCATTTGATAAATAATTTCTTCATGAGAACTACATATAAATAAAGTAATAATTTAGTAAGACAGATACATAGAAATGTTCCAAAATATTTCTTCTATATCATCGAAAAACTTATTCGTTTCATAAATAAATTCTTATTGGTTGTTCTTTATATCAAATTAAATAATTGTATTTTGATCACAAGTTTTTCTTTTGATTAATCCATATAATACTATCGATCAATCTGGAAAATCGTTTCGCTTATATAAAGTTTAACTATGTTTATTTATTTAGACACCATCAACTCCTTATCCTACATTAGTTCTGATGAACGATGTGATGCATATTTTTGTGGATTTTAATCCAATCGTATCTTCGACTTCTCCTGATGATGGTTTAGCTCTTATTTTGGCAATGTATGCTGCATTCGAGTTAAACTTTAATAAAAATAGTCGAACAATTCGATTATTATATGCAATTGTATTCGGTGATAAACGATTTATTTCAAACAGTATTCGTAATTTGGTAAAAGAAAAAAATATTGATATATCCTTCGAACA